CAAAACATCCAGCATTCAGAAGAAAACTTCCTTCCCAAACTTGTATGTAAAGAACTGTTAGGAATTTAAAGAAACTCCCTGCTACAGCATCACTTTTAATATAACTACCTTTAAGGATATTATTTCTATGAGAAAGAGATGAAACATGATAGTTATTCTATTATTTACAAGTGATTATTTTTTTTGTTTCTTGTATTGTTTATTCCTTGCAGATTATAGTCTTTCAGACTCGTCTCCTGCTTGTATGTCTTTCTGTGCTTTTTACTTCTTTTTAGGATGTAGAAGCAGTCTTCCTTGAAATTCCTATATTTTGCCAAATCCTTTAATATGCTAAACTTAATTATTTAACTAAAAAGTTATACGCACACTCAGAATAAACAGCCCAACATGTCACAATATCAAAATCCTCAGCAAGAGCTACCAAGACCAGAAAGAAATATTTAAAGTTTGTGCCTAAGGACGCCCACTTACATGGTACAGTCTTCAGTGCAGGAAGGCTGGTGGTGTCGAATGAACATTTTGGGGATCTGGGAGCTCACGAAGTCTTAAGTGCAATAATTTTAACCATGCAACACAATTTCTTTCACTTCGAACGAAAGTGTTTCCCCAGTTTTAATGTATGAATGTAACATTAATGATTAATTCCTGTCTTGACCTCATGCTGTTTAATTTCTAGGTTTACAGTTTATTTTTATGTTCATATAGTAGACATTTCTAACGGGTTCATCTCATTGAACAAATTATGGGTATGATGTAGGTCAAATAAAGGAAAGCTGAAATCGGAGAGTGAGTCCTGACGACCCTTGAATCCGTGCGATTTTTTTTTTACGTCTTTATTTCTATTAGCCAGTGTTGTAGATTATTTTGATCGAAAACTCTTAGTGATGTCTGCCAATAGAAACCAATAAACACATCTGTCCCTCTTTTATAAAACAATTACCTTGAACAGTCAAATCAATTCTCGGTTGTTTTATCAACAATGCTCCATTAATAAATCTTTATTCAAATGACAAAACTCGTTTGTTTTGGCTTCTGTTACACTGATAAAATTTACTTAAAATTTGCTGAAACTTTTCTCGACCTCAGGCCGTCCAAGATGTAGATGAATTATTTTCTTCATCAGAACAGGTTTTGAAAAATGTAGCATTTCATCACTTGCTCACCAATGGATCCTCTGCAGTGAATGGGTGCCGTCAGAATGAGAGTCCAAACAGCTGATAACACCGTTACAGAAATCCACACGGCTACAGTCCAACAATTAACGTCTTGTGAAGGGAAAAGCTGCATGTTCGTAAGAAACAAATTGATCATTAAGGTGTTTTAAACTTTAAACCTTCATTTCTGGCCAAAATATGGCCATAATCATAACTCCTCCTCCTCCAGTGAAAGAGTCCATCCCCTGTTGTCCTCTCACTTCAAAATCCACTGACATATTTGTTTAGACCTGTATTCTCTAAAATGGTGCTTGATCTGTGCATATTTCTCTCCTGATTCAGACAAACGTTTTCATTGGCGAAAGCAATATTCTAGATAGAGGACCAAAAGCAATGGTTTAAAATTAAAACGTCTTAATGATCAATGTGTTTATTACAAACAAGACGTTAATAGATGGACTGTAGTCGTGTGGATTTCTGTAATGTTTTTATTAGCTGTTCGGACTCTCATTCTGACGGCACCCATTCACTGCAGAGGATCCATTGGTGAACAAGTGATGTAATGCTACATTTCTCCAAATCTGTTCTGATGAAGAAACAAACTCTGTATCTTGTATGGTCTGAGGGTAATTTTTTAGTAAATTTTAATTGTTGGGTGAAATATTCCTTTAACACAACTCAAAACAATTGTCTTAAGACATGAGCAAAAGCCACATTGATTACGCTTTTTAAGTCCTCGCAGTCCATACTGAACACACGGCAGCAGATGTTTCTCTTTTACATCCTCCTAACATGGTGCAAACAGCATCTGCATCCACATTTCTGCTCTGATGCTTGTATTTGTCTCTCAAAGTGTCATTGTGAAACAGGCGGTCCAAATGCATCCATAGTTTCCATCACTAGAGACAAATGGTCCAAGAATGAACTTACAGAAACACGTAGAATACGGGCTTCATCTGCAGTCCATCTCCTATAAAGACATGACCAAAAATCTGATTTGTTTTATTGTGTATAATAGAAATGTTCTGTTAATTTCAACAACAAAACACGCATTTCTTTTTTTTTTATGAATTAATATCACAAATACATAGGATAGTATTTGAAAGGAAAGAGGAAAATCTGGTAATTAGACCAGTGTGGCAAAGTGTGCCGACCTAAATCTAAATTAGGACAACTATTTTAAACGCTAGACTTTTGTAGGTGATCGTTCATGTGCTTAAACTCACACAGACAGTGTGTGTCCTGAAACATCCAGATTTTTAGTGATTCCTCCTTTCCTGGGCTCAGGATCAGGAGATAAAGACTGCAGGGCGATAGCTGCCTCTCTCTCAGATGGGAAAGGTACCTTTAAAAAGCTGATGTTTTGTTAAAGTTAAACAAAACAGGGCTTTAAAAAAAACATGCACCTCTGTTTCTCATACATTGACCGATCTACTGTGTTACTTGGCTGCACATGTCTGTGCTGTTCTCAGGTAAGAGCTGAAAAGTCTTAATAAATCCCAAAATATAAAAGCAGAGTTCAACTGTGTCATAGTAAATTAGTTGGACATTTAGGAACAGCAGTAAAAGGATACAATTCAAGTTTTCTATCTGAATCGTTTTCACTCACGCAAGCCGCCATGTTGACATGTTTTGCTAGGCTTCAGATTGAAAGCGGCATTTTCGTCATGTTTTGATTAAACGTAACCCTTATTTTCATAAATAACATTCGACAAAGTTTGATTTTACATTACAGCTAAAATGTAGTGTAAAATCTAAAATGCTTTTCTTATATTTAATGATATGTTTAGTGATTATTGTACTCTTGGTTTAGATTATCATAGTCAAAAATATAATTCATATTTTTATGATGAATTTTCATATTTTAGATTGACAGGAACGAGAGTAAATGAATATAATCTACACAAAAATACAGTAGTAAAAATAATTTATGAAGTGATGTTATTTACATAAATATATCAAACGGTGATTAGCATTTAAATAAATGTTATATCATTTTGTCAAATTATTGTAATTAATATTATGATATTATTTTGTAAATGCCGCGAAGTAAGCGCACGGACATTTTCTAAACTTACTCATTTAAATGAATCATTCGAATGAATCGATTCGGAACGAATCGGAATGCTTCATACAAGAGCGAGTAAACATTTAAGAGAACGCGCGCAAAGTCGTTACAAAAATAGCTATTTGTCACGTTACACTGTTTCTTGTCGATATAAGTAGCTCGTTGCTGGAAAAGCTACATAGCTACTGTCACTCGTGTCACCGAAAACGTAGTTATTATTAGTAGCGTGACTAATTTTACTTCTTTAACAGCGGTCAGTTCAAATGAATCAAACCTACAGTCAGAAACACACCTGCAGCATCTTCACTCTTCATCACAAATGGCAGACAGCAAGACTCGTTATGAGGTCGCAAGCTTCGTTTTTGGACGCAGAGGTGGAGGCGCATAGGATGCAGTCTAGTTAGTGTGGGTAGGCAGCGCACTAGGTGTTGAAACACAACCGAGTCTGTCCCTGGTCATCTGCGCTGGATCGATCGGTTCAGTCCTCTGTGCTCTTTATTGTAGGTAAGTCCGACACGGCGGAACCTCTTTTATTACATGATTTAATTTTATTTCAAGCGAGAACTTTTTCCTTTTATGAAAAATCTTAAAAACATAAATGACAGAGTGCTAAATATTTTTCCATATCTCTTTTTATGTAATGATGATACGAGTTTAAACAGCTTACCTGGGAAGTGTTTTTTACAAGGACCATAATGATAATCATTCTAATAAGCCTTTCTTATTTTGTTACTTGTTTTTCTCTTGCTATTGCCTATGTCTTTATGCCTGAATACTGAAAAGAAATTATATAATTTAGAAAACAATGTGCTAAACATGTACAATGTAATATATAAAGAAATAACATCGAAATCACTCCTGTTCCGTTTCATCGCTATATGGTTCTCGGTGTATTTGTTCATCTAAATATTTATTTTTTATATATTTTATTTTCATTTTAAAATTATTTTTCTATAGTGGGTTTTTATTTATCGGGGATTCAAAGAAACTGAAAATAAACTGGATTTTGACAATGTAAAACAAGGAAACATAATAATGTAAACTAAATAGGAAATGTTTAAAACCAAGTAGGAGACTATGAAATTCATATTTTATAAAAAAAAAAAAAAATATATATATATATATATTAATTCATAATTTCCATAATTTAATTCAATAATTTTTCAAATTCAGCTTCACACTTGAATTGTTGCACTAACAATTTGTAATTAAAAAAATATTCAAAAAGAAAGCATTTTTAAGTTTATTTTAAGTTTCATTTATTCATAAACTTAATAAGAAATATTTCAACCTTTATTTTATTCAACCTTTATTTATAAAGCACTTTCAAAACCATAAAAATGGATCATTCACAATTGTCAGACCTAATCAAATGTAGAAAGCCTGTTAAAACAATTAAGTCTTGTTTTATAAGTCTTGTTTAACATTTGAGACCAAATACTAAGAAACTGTAAAATTCATGTTAATTTTTGAAATTCATCTTCACATTTGAATCGTTACTCTCATGTGACCCTGGACCACAAAACCAGTCTTAAGTGTCAATTTTTCGAAATTGAGATTTATACACCATCTGAAAGCTGAATAAATAAACTTTCCATTATTTGAGAATATTTGGCCGAGATACAACTATCTGAAAATCTGGAATCTGAGGGTGTCAAAAAATCAAAATATTGAGAAAATCGCCTTTAAAGTTGTCCAAATGATATAATTTGTAATGAAAAAACTGTATTCAAAAAGAAAGCATTTTCAAGGGCACTCCACTGTATTTACTAGCTATTAATTTTATTTACACTGTATTTCTGTTTAATTTATTCATAATTCTGTCCTCATCATCCCATCAGCTGTAACACTTCCATTTCCTTCTGACTGAGATCAATAACGTGTCAGAAACATCCATCTCAAACCCTGTAAAGCTGCTTGTTCGGATGTGTTTTACTGATTTCTTTATTGGATTTCATTGCTTTTATGGATGCATAATCCTCCAGCGGTGACGGGCTGATGGGAACTCTCCGTGACCTCCAGTTTGCCCTGCAGACTAAGATTGAGGAGCTGCGGCAACGTGACGCCCTCATCGATGAGCTGGAGCTGGAGCTGGACTCTAAAGATGACCTCATCAGACAGCTGCAGGGCGAGCTGGACCGTCTCCGCACCGCCTCGGTCTCACTCAACCCCTCCGGGACGACAGAAGTCACCGGTGAGCTGGGAACTCAATCAAATGCCTGGATTAACCATACGGACACATGTTATTTATTGTTGCATTTTATTTTATCGGTGCCGGAGCAGCGTTACCAGATGAGCCCCAGCGAACTAAACGCCAGGCCATTTCAGCCGAACCCACAGGGCTGGATCCAAATCAACTCACCCACGTCACCCTCACCAACTACAGCAAGAGCGAGGAGTGAGTTAGAGCCCGTACACATGAGTGAAATAGAAAAGCAACATGTTTGATTGCGTCCCATCTCCCTGTGCTCATCCCAGGTCTCGAGAGTTGATCCAGAAGGCTCTTTTGGAGAATGATTTCATGAAGCACCTGGAGGCCAGTCAGATCCTCACCATCATGGACTGCATGTATCCCACCACACTGACACAGGGCTGTTGCGTCATCCAGGAGGGCGACGACGGCTCTACCGTCTACGTCCTGGAAGGTGAGGAGCATCTATTTCAAATCTACTATTTTTACTTTATGATCAGTTAAAACTATTTGGAGAAACCGTTTATGTAAAACTGAAAGGGTCCCTAACAACAGCGTTTTGTTTTTATGCTAACCTCTGTCAAGTGGGCTGTTGAATTTGCTGCCTGTTCGTCATGTGTTTGTGACAGCGATCCTCCGTGCAAAGAGAACACTTCACATGATGTGTGCTATTATTTCATGGCTTTGCACAAGAATAGTTCAAGCACAAAAAACTAAAATTCTGTCATTATTTACTCAAAACCCATATTCTGTTTATTGTTTGGAACACAAAGGAGAATTTAAATATTTTTTGTTGCTGCTTCTTTTAAATAAACCTATTCAAAAGTTTGGGGTTGGTAAGATTTTGGAATGTTTTTGAAAGAAGTCTCTTCTGCTCACCAAGGCTGCATTTATTAGAAAAAAAGTACAGTACAAATAAAAGTAATATTTTAAAAATATTATAACTATTTTCTATTTGAAAATAGATATGTTAAAATGTAATTTATTTCTGTGATACAAAGCTGAATTTTCAGCATCATTACTCCAGTCTTCAGAGTCACATGATCCTTCAGAAATCATTCTAATATGCTGATTTGCTTCTCATGAAACATTTCTTATTAATATCTATATTGAAAACACAATATTTTTAATGAATAGAAAGTTCAAAATGTTTATTTGAAATAGAAATCTTTTGTAACCTTCTAAACTATATTTTTTCATCAATTTAATGCATCTTTGCTGAATAAAAGTATTAACGGTTCGCCTACACACATTCATCTCATTCTCAGACTCAAGGTTGTTGGGTTTGTGTGTGTGTGTGTGTGTTGTGTGCAGAGGGGTCGGTGGAGGTTACCAAAGGAGAGCAGAAGCTGTGCACCATCGAGCGGGGGAAAGTGTTCGGAGAGCTCGCAATACTCTATAACTGCACGCGCACGGCCACCGTCACGGGTGAGATTCACTCAGTCAAAATATTAGTCAAACTGGACCTAAAGGAAGCTGATTATTTAATGTTTCCTATTTCATACTCAAGCTGAGTTTTAATTGGATTTGCTTTATTAGTTTAACAAAACTGTACATTTATACTGTTAACATGTTTGGAGTTTAGAATAAATATATAAAAGTAAAAAGTAATATAAAATAATAAAGTAATATAGAGTAAAATAACAATAGATCAAATGGAGTAAAAAAGTTTAATTAACAAATTAGTTTTATATTAAATTCAATTTATTATATTAAATTTCAGAGAAAGTAACAATCAACCAGTTTACCAAAAAAAGGAACAAGATGTTTCATACAATCATAGAATAATTTAAATATTGAAATGTTAATAGTAATATAAAATAATACATCTATGTATGTACTGTATATATAGATTGTAGGTAAATATAGAGTAAAATAACAGAGCAAATTTATTAAATTGATTATTTATATTAGATTAAACAAAAGTGATTCATTAAATTAAATTCTAAAATAAATTTAATTAAGATATATAAAGGGTAAAAGTAATATGAAAATATTATGTATAATGTTAATATAGAGTCAATAACAATAGAGCAAATTGATTAAATAAGTATTATTACTAAAAAACATAATGGTTAATTAAATTAAATAAGTTAAATTAGGAAGGAACAGGATGTAACATACGAAAATTAAAATATATAATATATATAAAGTAATATGAAAATAGTACGATTAATAGAAAATAAATAACAATAGCGTAAACGGTGTAAATAGAAAAACTTACCAAAAAAAACAAAATGTTAAAAAATAATATACCATTGCAGAGTAAATTAAAAAATTATAAAAAAAAAAAAAAAAGAGAGATATAGGATGTGACATAATTAGTTAGTAGGAAGGATCAAGTAAAGATAAAAAATAAACCCAAACTATGCCAATAATGGTATTAAATTTAGTCACAGGGACACTCTTTCTTTGTCTGTAATTCTGACAAACAAAACATATAAGCCTGAACTTATAAGATCATAAATACAAAGTTTGTTGTCTTGAGTCTGAATTCCTGCTCATCTGCCAGCGCTGTGGGCTATAGACAAGTGAACATGGAGGAATCGGCAGTGTATAATTGCTGGGATGTTTGGCCATATGGTTTTTCTAATATATCCTCATCCTTTGCCCTTTTACGACACATCGGTTTAGTGTGATAGATTGGGGTGAAATGAGTTGACTCTGGTGGTGTCTGTTTAATCACAATAATAAATATTCAATTAAAATCAGGCCTTTGGCTGTTCCTGTTCATGCAAAGATCACTCTATATTTCCCTGTAAGAATCTCACCTGTGAACCCTGATCAGATTTCCTGCATTTCAACAAAAAGTGCTAAACAAAAGTGCCGCTCAGAATGAGTACAATTTAAGTTGGATTTGCATAATTATAGAATAATATAATTAATCAAAAATGTTTCTCAACTTGACACACATTGGCTTCATCAGCCAGCATAGTGTTTAAAGGAATAGTTCACCCCCAAAAAATGGTAAAAATAATGTACTTTCACTTAAGGGTGTACTCACTTTTGTGGCCAGCAGTTTAGACATTAATGGCTGTGTGTTGAGTTATTTTGAGGGGACAGCAAATTTACACTGTTATACAAGCTGTACACTCACTACTTTACATTGTAGCAAAGTGTCATTTCTTCAGTGTTGTCACATGAAAAGATATAATAAAATATTTACAAAAATGTGAGGGGTGTACTCACTTCTGTGAGATACTGTATATATATATATATATATATATATATATCACACACACACACACATATATATATACATACATACATAATAGAAGAACAGTTAGGGTTAGGGTTATGCAATTATGCCATCAAATAATATTTTGTCTTAAAATGAAGGTATTTTGAAGGTTGTTGTATTTGTTAGGAATTTATTTATTGGTTTTGCAGGTATTAATAAAATGACTCCAGAGTTTATTGGTGTTTACTGAGGAATATTAACAGTAGTATGTGATAGTGTTTGTGTGCGGTGGGCTGGCAGAGTAATTACTTTGAGTGGGATGTGAAGAGTTCTCAAAGCAGCAGCTGTCAGTCGTGTTGAGAGGAAGTACAGAACAAAAGTGTGTTGAGGTGAGGAGATCAAGCCCACATTTATATTTGCACATGTCCTTGTTTATGAATTATGAAGCAGAGAATTATAGTAAATCCGTCTGATCTGAAATGTTGTAATCCATGTCATAAATTTCAATAAAAGTGTTCTTGTCTGTAAAATTCCATGATTTAATATACTGTAGTACTATTTTTATTTATATAAAAAAGGTTTAATAATGTGATTGATTTATTTATTTAATTATAATTTAAATAATCCATTTTATTCATGAATTTTAGGAGCTTTTTGACTTTTACTTGAAAGGACAGTTTAAGAAACAATATATTCAGGAATTTGAATTAGTAGTACCATTTATTTGCATGGTAAGCCATCAATAGAATTAAACTGCACATTTTCAGGAATAATTTCCTCCTTCCTCACCATTATCGTCTTCTTCCCTTTCAGCCCTGACCGATATCAAACTATGGGCTATAGATCGACAGGGTTTCCAAACCATCATGATGAGAACTGGCCTTCTCAAGCATTCAAACTACATGGAGTTTTTGAGAAGGTAACACAATTTAGCATCAAATCAAATTCAACATCTGAAACCAAAATCAGAGTTTTGATACTATATGGAATTTAGGTTTAGTAAGACAAGTAGTAGTAATACTGTCACCTGAATTGTGTCATCAGTGTGCCCTCCTTCAAGACTCTCACTGAAGATGTGCTGAGTAAAGTAGCAGATGTTCTGGAAGAGGTGAAGTCTTTGAACACTGCATATTTATTCTAAAATCAATTCCGAATTGATTCATGTGATCTTTGTGACCTTCAGTATTTTTATTCTGTGTTGTTTTCGCTCTCTGTATTTTAGACTCACTACAGTGATGGCGACTACATCATTCGTCAGGGCGCTACTGGAGACACATTCTTCATCATCAGTGAGGGTCAGGTGAGAAAAGAGCCTTTCTGAGGCTTCCTGCTGAGTTGTAGAACAGAATATTTATTCTCGGTTTTGTGGCTGTTTTGCCCCACAGGTGAGGGTCACCCAGCAGAAATCAGCCAGTGAGGAGCCAGTGTTCCTGTCCACACTGTCTAGAGGAGATTGGTTTGGAGAGCAGGCTCTCAAAGGGTCAGGGAGAAACCTAATTTTTAGGGTCATAATTCTCATTTTAACCATTCTGGTTAAGATTTAAGAATATATTTTTTTACATTTTTCACTTTTCTTCCCAGGGAAGATGTGCGTACAGCAAATGTTACGGCTGTTGGAGATGTGACATGTCTGGTTGTGGACAGAGAGTGAGGAGCTCGCAGCACAATCACAATCAGTGATCGTTCAAAAACAGCAGTCACTATCTATCAGGATCACATCAGCACAAACAAAATCACAACCATCCCAAGCAAAGAAAATTGTAACTATCACAGTCAAAAATAATCATCACATTTAATCTAAATCATAACTCACAATGAACATCACAACAATCCCAATCAATCCAAATGATAACAATCACAATCGATATCTATCAACATAATAATCATTACATTTAGTCAGAACTATAACTATCACAATCCACAATATCATAACCATTGAATGGTTTTCCTCCTATTTCACCGGGAGGCAACAATTTGTTATATACCAGAAACACAAATCATCTACCAAATCCATCAGTTCTGGTGTACCTCAAGGTTCTGTTTTGGGCCCTCTCCTCTTTACGATTTATATGCTGCCAATTGGACAAATAATCAAACGCTATGGGTTTAACTTCCACTGTTACGCAGATGACATTCAAATTTATTTTAGCGCACCTTCCACCTCAGTGTTTCCTCAGCCTGCATTAAAAAATTGCATCAAGGACTCAAGCTTTGGCTGGAGGCAAATTACCTTAAATTTAACTCTGATAAAACTGAGGTAATTCTGATTGGCTCTAAAGCTGTCTCTGTATATTACTCTCAGCTCTTGGTATGTGTTCTGTCTTCTGATATTGATGTTTATTTGTTTCTGTTCCTTAAACCTGACTTGTAAAGTGACCTTGGGTGTTGGAAAGGCGCTATATAAATAAATAATAATTATTATTATTATTACCATCAAAATCATAACTATCAATATTAATATTTCAATCAAGATATCAAAATCATAGCAAGTCAGAACCGTCATAATCAGTCCAAATCAGAACTTGTACAATCACAATATCAGAACAATCAGTGAACTAATAACATCATCTCTCCTCTGTCTTGTCACATTTACTGACTGCTAATAAAACTCAACTCTAACAGGTCTTTCAAGCAGCTGATCGGAGGACTGGACAATATGAGCAACAAGATGTATGAGAGTGAAGAGGTGAAGGCCAGGTAAGCACATGATGAGCTGCTTCACATCCATCGATCAGAGATGAGGAGCATTCGGACTCACCAGAATAACTGACATCTCTCGTAGGTTGGAGGCAGAAGCCGCGTTCTTCTCTAATATGTCTCTCAGTGACTTCCGTGTGATCTGCACGCTGGGGGTGGGCGGCTTCAGTCGGGTGGAGCTGGTAAGACGAGTAGTTCGATGTTTCTGTAGGGGTGATTAGAAGTATATTGAGAGAATGTGTTCATATTGATTCTCTACAGGTGCAGCTGAAGAACGATCACAGTCGCTCCTTTGCCATGAAGGTCCTGAAAAAGCGTCACATCTTGGACACGAGTCAGCAGGGCCACATCCTGTCTGAGAGATGCATCATGATGGAAGCCCACAGTCCTTTTACTGTCAGGTCTGTACAACTCAGTGCCAGTTGATAACTTAGTCACATGATTTGATTGATTTAACTGTTTTATGTGCAATGCAAAAGAAATCTTAAAGGGAAAACCTATATTTTGTATGAACCTATATTCACTCCTGCAATACATTGAGTTATGCAGAATTAAAACCATGAGTTTTTTTTACTTAGTCTCCTAAAGTCTTGAGACTGCTTTTGTGCTCCAGGGTCACATATTATATCTATTTATAGCAATTACAGTCTAATTATAATTATTATAATCTGATTATAATAACATAAAGAATGAAATAAAAATCTTAGTTGACAGATGACACTGTAACTCCACATATTTTATTAATCACATGGTATTTTTATGAAAAGCCCGTATTGGTTATATGTTTCAGACTTTATCAGACCTTCAGAGATTCGAAGTACCTGTACATGCTGCTGGAGGCGTGTTTGGGTGGAGAGCTGTGGACTCTGCTCAGAGACAGGTATCAGGATCCCGCTCAGTATTTTCTCACATTCTCCTGAAGGGATTGAGTGACTTACAGGAAGTTGTGTGGCTGTTTTCAGAGGCTCGTTTGATGACAGCACCACACGCTTCTACGCTGGATGTGTGGTGGAAGCTCTCGCTTTTCTACACTGCCGTGGAATCATCTACAGAGACCTGAAGCCTGAGAACATCATACTGGACCACCGTGGATATGCCAAGCTGGTAAGCAAAGCAGTGTCATTTTACTATTATTTATATACTAGTTTTAATTTTAATTTTAGTTTAAGGTTTAGTGCTTTTATGTAATTTTGTCAGTTTTTTGTAGTATTTTTATTTAGCTTTAAATTAAAGGAACACGCCACTATTTTTGAAAATAGGCTCATTTTCCAACTCCCCTAGAGTTAAATCCTCTGTGCCTCCAAGCCCACCTTTCTCAGGGTCAGATCCCATGAAGACGTACAACATTATTCTTCGAGGAATCGATATGGTGGAGTTTCCCAAGAAAATCACTAAGAGTGCTGCGAACTTGATCAAGAGACTGTGCAGGTACAAAGATAGAGTCAGCGTGTTTATTCAGAAAAGGCTGTTTAAAAAAACTGTTCTTTTGTTATGGAAACCTGAGCTGCTGAAATAACATTGTTCTGTATATTATTTTATTTTTATTTTTTGGGGGCGTTACAGAAATACAGTGACTTAGAAATTCTTACTGTATAACTTAGTTGAGGCTCACCTCTGCATTCGCACTATTTTCTGCAAGATGACAGTTGAAATATTACATTTATGTTGTGTCTGATTAATGCAATACAGTAACAAACAGTGTTTTATTTAAAAAAATCAGAGAGAAAAAAACTTAAATGCAGTGTCTTAAAAGAAAAAAAATAAAGAGAGAAAAGTGTTTTTGAAAAAAAAAAAAATTGGAGCGAGAAAAGGTTTTTTTGGAAGATACATTTTTTGGGGGAAAGAACAAATTTAGAGAGAAAAAGGTTTTTCAGGAGAGAGAAAAAATTTCAAAGTGAAAAAAAGGTTTTTTGAGAGAGACTAAAATGCTGAAAAAAATAAAGAGGGAAAAAGGTTTATTAGAAAAAAAAAAGTTTTTGTAAGAGAAAACATTTTTTTGGGAAAGAAAAAAAAATTAGAGAAAAGTTTCAGGAGAGAGAACAAGTTTGGAGAGAGAAAAAATGTTTTAGGGAGAGTTTTTTTCTCCAAAGTTTTTTTTTTTGAGAGAGAGAGAGAAAAATATCAGAGAGAAACAAATTTGGAGTGAAAAAAAAAATCTAAGGGCTTATGAAGGAGCTATTTTTTTTTAATTATCCCCCCCCCCTCCTTTTTTCACATTGCAGTTTTTTTCCATGTGTGAAATTTCGAAATCATGATGCAAATCATGATGCACATTTTTTAAGAAAAAAAAATTTATTTGATAATACATTTTGAAAAACAGCCATAAAGTGTGTCATATAACCTGGCAGGGACAATCCGTCTGAGAGACTCGGCAACCAGAAGAACGGCGTGAAGGACATCCAGAAACACAAGTACAGACGATACATGCAGCTCTGACATTATCACTACATATTGACTACTGCATTTCATTGAACAGTCATGATGTGTGGGCTGTGCTGGTTTTAATGTGTCTTGCAGATGGTTTGAGGGGTTTAACTGGGATGGTGTTCGTGAAGGAACCTTGACTTCTCCGTTTATACCAACTGTGAGCTTCTCCAGCAAATAAGAGAAATTAATCATTTGATGGACTGTTTTTAACTTGGAGGGATATGAAAAATACATATGTTCAAAATGAATTAGTCATCTCCGATAAATGAAAAGAAGTATTAGTTGACCTCACAAATCCTGATATAATTTTACTCCGTCTGAGATATTTTTAGAGAGTTGCAGTCCTGAGTGAGTGAGTTTCTTTGCTTTATCTTGCGTTTTCATCCAAAGAAAATGAGTTTGATTTGTTTGCCGCAGGTGGAAGGGCCTTTGGACACCAGTCATTTCGACTGTTTCCCAGAGGACACAGATGAGCCGCCGCCTGATGAAGAGTCCGGCTGGGACTTTGAGTTCTGATCGAAGGGACCAACTGCTTATATGAACGGCACAGAAACAGACGCCGCATTTCAGAATTAGATAGATCGATTTCTCTCTCGCTCTATATTTCAACAATATAAAATTTTTGTCTCATTTATGACTGTTGTTGTGAAGTATAGAGTATTTGTGTGGAATATGGAGTAAAAGTTTTACTTACAAAATTAAATTAATAAATTACTTGTATTAAATTAATAATTAAAATACACAGGACATAAGATGCACTGAAATGCAAGCAAAAAAAGCCCTTATATTATCTGCTACCAACACCATCACACACATTAATATATATAAACATTAATAATAAAGTTTATATATACAGTGCCGTGAAAAGGTTTTTGCCCCCTTCCTGTTTTTTTTTTTTTTTGCATATTTGTCACACTTAAAAGATTCAGATCATCAAACCAATTTTAATATTACGCAAAGATAATGCAAGTAAATACAAAATGCAGTTTACACACACATTTGTGGAAAAATGGTCCACTGCAAGGTGTATAAAAACCAAAGCAGAAAGAGTTTTAAATCAAGTTTATTAAGCAAAACAAGTCATTTTTGCTATTAAATGTAAATATTGATAAGTATTTCATTTCATTAGTTTTGTTCTACAGATCGACAGTTGATTGTGTGATATGATATGATATGATATATCAAGTATCAAGACTAAAAGATGAATGGAGCAGCACTGAATTAGCAGAAGATGCAGATCTTCACAAAAACAAACAGACATTTAAAATGATAATGCACTCAAAAATACATTCTGTCATCATTTACTCACCTTCACGTCATTGTAAACCAGTGATTTTCTCTCTTCTGTGGAAAACAAAGAGTGTGTTTTTGAATATCATCCACAGAAAAAAGTCAAAGGACTAGAAGTGCATGATGTAGAGTAAATGATGACAAAATGAACTATCCCTTCTTTCGCATGGAATTCAAGAAAGGTTCTGCCTTCACTAAATGTGTCAATGTTTTGCCACTCGATTCAATATTTAAACTATGCTGTAGTGAAAAATATACACTTGATGACCATCTAGTGAGGATTTCACACAGAAAGACTCTGCCAGCAGAATCTCACATGACGGCTCTGAATAACATGACTAGGCACAATTACTCACATTTTCTGATATAATTTCAGCACTAGAGTCTAGTGATCACCTGACGGTCATGCCTGTTATAATCAGGAGAATATATGATATGATTCAGGGGATGAATCACAAAGAGTCATTGTAGGTACAATGCTAAAAATCAAGAATATTATTATAGGCTAAAAATGCACAGCGATCTGTACAAACTGGTTTAGTTTTGTTCTTTGAGTGACTCTTCAGTTTTTCCACAGTTCTGCTTTTGAGGCTAAATGGTTTTAGATCAGTAGTTCTCAATTAGTGGATCAGGGGGAAAAAAATTTATTAACTAAACATTTAGCATAGCAAAATATCTGAAATATTAATATTTTAAATATATTAGAAATCTCTTTTGATGTCAAACTTATGTCCAAACCAGTGTTGTTATTGTTAACTAAAACTATTAAAAATTGTTTTTTGGTAACTGAAAAAAGCTAATATAAAAATCACATGAAAAACGTAGGTAAAGGTAAAATGTAGAAATGTTGCCTTGAAAACTTACTGAAACAAACTAAAAGATAAATTGAATCTAAAAATATTTTTTTAAATATCAAAAAAGGAAAAAATCACAAGTTTACTAAAATGAAAATGTTAAGGCTGAATCAAAATTTTAATGAATACTATAGTAGTATAGAAATAATATACAACCACATGCTGTTCAATTCAATACATTTTTCATGATAAGCTATTTTTGACTTGCCATTTGATGTCTAATGTTGTGAAGCGAAATCAGTTGAGAGCCACTGATCTACATCACAAAATCACAGCAAGGTTTCTTCATTGTTTTAAGATGCCTACCTGTTTTACTTAAAGGGTTAGTTCACCCAAAAATGAAAATTAGAACAACAGGCCGACTACAGTCACATTCGGTAAACAGTTTACATCTAGACCTGCTTGCCGGCCATGTCGTATGTGATGCCTGTACACTTCCAAGTGCAGCACTTCAGGCACCAAGAACTTCAAAGCACGACGGATGCGAAGTTGATCTGAAACCAGAAAAAGCTGAAAAATTGGTGGATGTGTTCACTGCACCTTACAGGTTCTCCATCTCTAAGGTTTCACCCTCGTCTCTTCAGGTGATAGCAGAGGAGCCTGAGGATGAGGACGATGAAGAAGATGAAGAGGGGTTCGAAGGGCAGGGTGGAAGATTCCACAGCACCCATTTACGCTTGTTTTGCCGTTTTTGGGAGAGGTAGTCCTCCTTTTCCCGCTCTTTCCGAGCTCTCTGGTAGTGGTCGTCCTCCTTCAGATACCAGACCGGAGGCCAGCGGTGCTTCTCAAAGTATTCTTGGTTCTCTGAAAATGCAAATGAACATGCATCCAACAGGATTATTGTAGTAAACAAACAGTAAAAAAAAACATTTTTGTTTCTTGAAATGAAATGTATAAAATAATATTAAAAAATTTGAAAATATTCTTATTTTATTTCAGCTAATCACCATGGCAACATTTTCATTTAGTCTAACTTTATGTACTAAGATAACGAAAACTGAAATACAAATTAATAAAAAAAACTATATAGACATATTTTAAGAAACAAAAACTAATGAAAATGACCAAATAAAAAAAAATATTAATTTTTTTAAAAATAAAAACGAAAGAAACTTTTGATGTACCACCTGCTGACTTGGCCCTCATGTCTCTGGGGAATTTGCGGCACACGTTGTTGTAGTTGGTGCAGATGTGGTGAAGGCACCAATCGGTGAGCTGGTAGGCACAGTGGAACTGAAACCACATGACAACAATAATCCTCATTTATTCACCCTCATGTTGTTTCAAAAACACAGACTTTATCGTTCAAAAGTTTGGGGTCGGTACAATTTTTAAAAATGTTTTTGAAAGAAGTCTTAAGCTCACCAAGGCTGCATTTATTTGATCAAAAATACTGTAAAAACAGTGAAATATTATTACAATTTAAAATAGTTGTTTTCTATTTGAATATACTGTATGTTAAAATGTAATTTATTCCTGAGATGCAAAGTTTAATTTTCAGCATCATTACTTTTCAGTGTCACATGCTGCGATACATTTTTTTTCTTCAGGATTTTTTGATAAATAGAAAGTTCAAATGAACAGCATTTATTAAATAGAAATCTTTCATAACATCTTTGTCACTTTTGATCAATTTAATGCATCCTTGCTGAATAAACCTCAATCTTTTGAATAGTAGTGCACTTTCTTCTGCGAAACGTCAAAGTTCCTAGTTTTCTTATGTCTTGTAACCAAAATAGTAGTGCCATGATGCACAAATTACATTTCAATGTAATCTTACGGAGGTGTTATGAACTTTTCATTTTGTTTCTTTATGTCCTGTTCACTGAACAAGTGAGCAATGTGATAAATATCTCAGTTTGTTTCAATAAATGGCACATTAGTGCGAGCTAGCTCATTCTCCACAGTCAGTCTATACCAGTTCAACCATGGAACTCAAGCACTGTTTAATGCATTTTATAAATCCTTCCATTTAGTTTCATTATTACATCAGCAGAGTCATCTACAGAATCTCTAGAGTTTATGGCAGAGAGCTCCTTAGTCGTGAAATGCTCAGCGTTTCTGAGAGTCTTTAGTAAAGTAAGTGACTCAGCTTGACCAGTCAGGCATGACTGAAAGAACCACGTGAACTGTCACAGGAATGCTGCAAAAATGTGTCTGACTTCACACTAAATCCCAGAGCAGGACACGGGTTACTGCAACGTTTGCAAGAAACCTATTATTTCCTCATGCAGTTTCTTATTTAGCAAACACAACAAATCTAAAATACCTGTGATTGTTACAAGTAAATTCAGTACAACATTGTCTCAGCTCTTGCCGGGTTAATTGATAAAGGAAATGCTAACTTGAAAACTTCACTTAAAGAGCCTATGCTCTTCAACTTATACATGCTACATTTACTGCAGGAGGAGTTTGTGGTGGTTTTCACATGCAGTTTTACCTGAGCCATCTCCAGATATACCAGCACATCTCCGTCAATGTCCGTGCCCATGGCGGCAGCCTCCTTCAGAACAGTCACAGTATGGAGTTCTGCAGCAAAACACAATTAAACAGTTAGGTCACCCAAAAATGAACATTTTGTAATCATTTACTCACCCTCATGTCATTTCAAACATTTGTTTTTTTATTTCAGTGCAACACAAACGGAGAAGTTTAGCACAATGCTCATGCTGCTCTTTTCAATGAATTTGAATTCTGATCATTATTCATTTAAAGTGCCCCTATTATGCCATTTTTAAGGTTGCTAATACTGTTTTAGGAGTCTTCTAAAACAGGTTTACATGCATGCAAGGTCAAAAAACACGTTTAAAAATAGATTTAATTTGACCTCATTTCTAAATGATTCGTAAACGACTTGTGCGAAGCAGTTCAAAGAATCAGTCTCTCTAAGCCCCTCCTTTCCGTGAGCCCTCACTGCTGTGATTGGTCAGATGGCGCAGTACTTTGTGATTGGTCCAGAGCCATAAAGAGATTGGCTCTGGATTGGTCTACCGCGTACAGCGCGTGTCGGAAACGAAAAGCCCATTGTCATGACGGAATGACAGCCCTGGAGACTTGTCAATACATAGAAAAGATACAGCTACATGACACACTGCATGAAAGGTAATATTCGAAAAGGCATAATAGGGGCACTTACCGCATATTTTTGTCCATGTTAGTATGGAAGCAAAAAAATCCTAATATTTACACTGCTGTTAAAAACTTACAACTACAAAATTAAAATGTTTATTTAGCAAGAATGCATTAAATTGACCTAAAGTGACAGTAAAGACTTTTACATTGTCACTAAAGATTTCTCTTTTGAATAAATGCTGTTCTCTTGAACTTTATTTTCATCAGAGAACTTTGAAAACAAAAATATTAAGCAGCACAACTTTTTCAACACTGATAATAATAAGAAATGTTTCTTGAACATTAAATTAAATAATATTAGAATGAATTCTGAAGGATCATGTGACACCGAAGACTGATGACATCACAGGAATTAATTACATTTTAAAATATATTCAAACAGAACTCTATTTTAAATTGTAATAATATTTCACAATATTACTGTTTTTACTGTATTTTAATCAAATAAACGCAGGCTTGGAGAGCATAAGAGACTTTTCAAAAACATTAAAAAAAAAAAATCTTAAAAACTCCAAACTTTTGAACAACAGTCTATATATATATATATATATATATATATATATATAAAACCCCAGAAGACTTGGTTTAAGTTAAACATTTTTAATAAACTAACTTAGTTATAAACCAATCCTTGATGATTCTTATATTCATTATTGGCATAATAATCAATCATCCGACCTGTGAGGGCGACCAGGTGAGGCAGGCAGAGGCGATTAGCCAAGATAATGAGCTCCATGGCATCCAGGTCAGGTCTGGAGCAGAAGCGTCCCGTGTAAAGATATTCCAGCACCGCTTGCATACTACTACGGGTCGTGTTTGGGAACAATACCTGTGGAACCACATCAAGTCATGAGAAAATCTGTATACCAATGCAAAAAAAGACATAAATCAACAGTAGATGTCTTTGAAGATAATATTAACATCTGGACACTACTACGGATCAAGTGTAATATTGTTTGAAATTTCCCAGAGGCTGAAAGGACAAGTGGAAATACACGATTTACCAAATGTTCTTTTTGACAAAGTGATGTTTACAAATGCTGCACATCAATGGGTCACATCCATAAAATGCAGTAGTCACCTCTTTAGTACAGCTCTCGACAAAAGGCCCACCAAACATGGCTGCCATCCAATCACAGCTGGAGATGAGCAGGGGTTTATGGGCCTGAATGGGACCATCATCCAGTTTAAACACCACATCTAGGATATAAAGAAAGAAATCTTTATTGCAGCAAAACAGATAGTATTAGTAGGACCCTATGATTTCTGCAAGATGGAAGATAATGAAACGTGGACAGAATTGCGGAATCCAGTCACAAAATGTTTTTTTTACAGTATGGAATGTGGAATCTGGCAAATTTGGGATGAATAAGTCAAAGGAAGGTCTGTATACTTAATTAAAACATGATATGGACAAGTGTCTGTGAATATTAAAGTCCAAAAGACTGCGAGTTTTGCCACAGTTTCATCTACAAAACATCACAGCTGACAAAAAATAAAAGGAATTGTTAAACTTTCATCTGATCACATATGGAAACATTCATTAAATTGTTAATAGTTCATGCTATCATATGATTAACACGGTTTTTGATAACAAATTTGCATTAAATCATAAATCCAAAAAACATTTTTCTGGGGGGAAAAAAAATCATAGTGCCCTATTATTGTATCTTTTATGAACTTTAAAAATTTTATAAATTCAATTGATTAGACATACTTTTTATTTTTTTAAATATAATTAAACCATTAAAACGGAATCTAGAAAAATTTAAGACTGAAAATACTGGCTTTGGGAAAAATATAACAGAATTTAGGGAAAATTTCACAGGGCCCTAAAAGTTTACATTTTGTTACATTAAATTGTATAAGTTTTATTATTTCAATTAATTAGACATGATTTTTGATTACTACAATTTAACCTTTAAAACAGAGTCTAGAACATTTTAAACCGGGGGGGGGGGGAAATCCAGAAAAATTACAACTGAAAAATGGAATTTGGGAAAAACTGAAACAGATTTTATAAGGCCAAACATTAGAATCTTTGTGACATAAGATAAAGGAAATTTAACCTGAGAAAGTTCCTTTGGCCAGGCATTCCTTCACCCGATTGGTCCGTCGCACATGGAAAGCCTTCGTGATCTCCTGATTCATGAAGGCCTCATTGTTGAGGATGTTGGCGACCATCATGCGCAAGTCGAACACCTCCAGCAGCTCAGCGATGTGTGCGATGTGCATCAGGTCCTTCTCGTGTTCGTCCAGCTGTCCCGTGTAAAGGTAACGCATGACCACACGAAACGGCCCGAGCAGCACAGAGGGGTCCATGTCCACCACCGTCATCGGCCGGGAGATGAACGTGACGGGGTCCTGGACCGTTTCTCTCCTGATGCTGACGAAAGCCCGACCCAAAGACGACAAAAGCAACCCCCCGCATCCGCCCTCAAGGATCCCATCAGAGCCTGCGCCGATCAGGGTCCCGTCACTGATGCAGGCCCTGAGGTTGACCCTTCTTTCTTCATCACTGCTCTCACACATGTCAAAGCTGGCCGCCCGTGCAGGAGGCTCCCGTCCCGTGGGTTGCTTACAGTCAGCCTCGGCCTTCACATCCTGGAGGAAAAGGTCGTAGAATTTCGAGGAGGCCGTGGCGAGGTAGACCTTATGAGCAAAGACTCGCTGGTTCTCCTGGAGGACCAGAACCACATCAGCACACAGCGGCTCCTCCAGCAGCCGGCCCTGGTGCTCATCGGTGGTGCAAGGGGGCGGCGGGACGACTATAACGGGTGGAGGAGGTTTGGGAGGCAGAAAAGGCGCCTGCAAAAGGGGCCGTTGGACGTCGCGCAAGTGAGACTTCCAGAACTGCAGGTGGCGCCGTGAGATGAGAGCTGCACGGATGGCATTGTCAAACACATCCTTCACTCCGAACTGAGCCACCACGCTGGTCTCGTAGTATGGCACCCCCAACTCTTTGGCCACCTCACGACCCTTCTCAGGAGGAAGAATCTCGTTCGCTTTGATGGGTCTGTAAGGTGGGTTTATGGAGAAATGTCAACAAAAAGGATGTACTACAATATCTTGTATGTGAATGTTACATGTTTGGTCTCATGTCCAACACATGATGTTCAATTCACACTGAAGATCCAATCAAATAGTCTGAAATGAAACAAGTCAAATATACCGACAGACCAAGACTTATTTCTTGCTATTTTTAGCCAGAAGCAGGTGATACTAATATAGAGACATTTTTTTATATTTATAATATTGTTAAAAGTATATTTATAATTTTTATATTTCTATTTTATATTTACAATTTAGAGAATTATTATTTTTAAATTATTACTTTTATTCAGAAGAGATGCATTAAATTGATCAAAAAAAGGGAGACAAAGGACATTTAAAATGTTATAATAAAATTATATTTCAAATAAAAGTTGTTCTTTTGAACTTTATATTCATCACTGCATTCTTATAATGGTTTCAACAAAAATATGTAATTACTGCTGAACATTTTATCCACGGAAATAAATATAGTTTTTAAAGATTGTATTTTTTAAATATTATATTTATTAAATATTTGTATATTTTTGGTCTGTTTTCCAGAAAAATAATGACTAAATTTTAAATAAGTGTATTCACTAAATTACATTAATTTGGGGTCAAGGGGTCTTTAAATCACAGATCAAAAATTTGACAGGTCACCTGGCAAGAGGTCTCCGTGCCCTATTAACAGCATCCAGGTCAGCGTAACGCAGGTCTAACTGGCAGCCCACCAGGATGACCGGGGCACGAGGGCAGAAGTGCTTGATCTCCGGGTACCACATGGTCTTCACATGAAACAGAGAATTGGGGTTGGCGATGGAGAAGCACAGGACCACCACATCTGACCTAGTGTCCAGACACAAGATAAAGCATTCAAGAAAACACTGAGAGTAAGTCATAAGAAAGATGTGGTCCACAAACACACCTGCCATAAGCGAAGCGGCGGTCTTTGTGGTGGTCGCCGAAGGTGTCCCATAATCGAAGAGACACGCTCACATCATCCACGACATCTCTGGAACGTTCCAGAACCTTCAAAACCAGACGAGAATTGGATTTAAGTTGGAACTGGATTGGAGTTACAATACTTATCTTATGCTTCTGAAGTGTCAGGAGTGGAAAGATAAAAACCCAGACCTCTTGACAGACTCTATACTGGTCAATGGCCCAGACAGTGGGCACATGCGTGGCCAGTAGCTGGTACTGTGTAAGAGTGGCGTTACAAGCGCGAGCACAGATCAGACGCGTTTTGCCCACAGCATTGTCCCCCACCACCACACATTTAATGGTCTCGACATTAGGCCTCTCATAGTCCATGTCAGTATCTGTAAACTGGGACCTAAAAGCAATGGATAAAAAAAAAATCATGCAAAAAAATTGTCAAATTTAAAGGGTTAGTTCACCCAAAAATGAAAATGTGCCTGTGTTTTACTCACCCTCAATGCATCCTAGGTGTATGTGACTTTCTTCTTTCAGACGAATCCAATTGGAGTTATATTAAAAATTGTCCTGGCCCCTCCAAGCCTTACAATGGGGGTAAGTGGGTGTTCGGTTGTCAACAGTTCAGAAGACGTGAAATAAAGTGCGTGCATCCGTAATAAAACACGGCTCACACGGCTCCGGGGGGAGAATAAAGGCCTCCTGTAGCGAATCCATGCATTTTTGTAAGATAAATATTCATATTTCAAACGTAATAAACACTTTTTTCTAGGGATGTAACGATTAAGCGCGAGCCGGTTGAAAACCCATTCAAATATGTGACGATTCAAATCGGTTGAGATGCTAAACAAATCGCAATTCAATTAGGTGTAGGAGTTTATATGAATGTATGTCTGAGGGAACTTACTGTCTTTAGAAAAGTTTAGATGGTATTTTTTTCTTTTCATCTTGCCTCTGTATAACGCATATTAAAGTTCATAAGTGCAGCGCTGCTTTGTTTACAGCGGAAACCAAGGAAACGCTTTAAGCGCCACCTGCTGGCAGAGAGTGAATCTGCGTCTCGTTCAGCTCGTCTGCTGTTTCTGTTTCATGCAGATATTTTTATGTATAGTTTCACAAAACTGAAGTCAAACCATTCTGTTGTTGCTTCAAATGTCGAAATTATACAATGTAATTTGTAATG